TCCCCAGCACAAATGTAGGCAGTATTCTCTGGTGATTGCTGGATTACCAGACGAAAGGGCTGTGCCACGTCTAGTGGCTGTGTACTGTCTACAGATGCAGGACTCCCAGAACACGTGCTTCAAGGCCTTCCACAGGGGCCCCTTCCTCCAGGACACCTGCCGTGCCCTCTCGCTGTCCCTCTTACAACACAGATTGTCCCACATCTGTCATCTGCCCAGAGGATAAGGGCTGGAATTGTGTCCTGGTCATCTCTGAAGATCAGGGAAGGGGCCTCAGGCAGGCATCAGTGAGGGAATTACGATTTAGGAAGAGCAGAGGCTCTTGTAATAAAAGCTCCTGAGTACCATTTGACTTGTCAACTTAGCTGCTTATTACTTTGACAAAAGTGATTTTTTTTTAAAAAAAACTGTACATAATCAATGAGTATATTCCAGCAGAAATAATTAATTGGAACTGGAGAAGGACTAAGTTTAACCAGATATTTGAAGCATTTTGTAAATCACTAGTAAGCAAACACTATAATGTAGATTTAAAATACCACAAGATGTAACAAAAGGCACAGAAGGGAATACATCCCCCAGACCCGTGGCATAGCTACTATTTATGAAACACAGGCTAGAAAAGAACCACCACAAAAGTAGAGGTCACCTTTGTGACCTCCTCCCCTGGCGAGCACCATAGGCAACTGATAAATACACACTGAATGAACGACTATAGCTGGCACTGAGTGACATGCTTTATATAAAAGATCCCATTTAATTCTTACAATCATCCAGTGAAGAAAGTATTTTTCCTCCTGTTGAAACCAAGGAAACAGGCAAAGCATGAGTAAACAGTTGCCAAAGATCACACGGCTGGGGAGAGAGCAGATCAAGTGATAGAGATCAAGATTTTTTTCTAGAACCTTCCATGTAACCTAATGGAGGTTTGAAAGTGTTTTAGAGGCACAGGAGAGCCAGGAATTGCCTGGAGAGATCTGGATTTGGAAAATGGAACCACTGGGAACAGGCAAGGGGTGAGACAGTGGAGTCTCATGAGGTCAGCACAGCAGGTCTCAAGTAGACGTAATCATTCATTCATTCAACCAACATCTAAGAAGGAGTTGTCCTATGCCAGAGTAAAGTTTGATTCTGGCTTTCAGAGAGGGCTTGGTCAGTGAATACTCCCAGCAAAGTCGCAGTCTGCCTCACTGTGTGCTCCCTGGGTGCCTGGCCCAGTGCCTGGGGCCAAGCAGCTGTGCAGATGAGCTAGAGGGAGGCCTAGTACCCGCCCACCTCTGCCAGGGCTCTCTGGGGTAGAGCCCTTGTGAGGTAGGGAGAGTAAAGGAAGACTTGAGGATCTAGGGTTCCCTTTGACTGGACTTCGGGGTCAAGAAGGCCTAAGCTGCTGCCCAACTCCCTCGCAATGTGGAACTCTTCTGGGGAAAGAACTTGCAGAGTGAGGAGACAGTCATAAAGTTGCTTCTTCCATCTGACAGAGCAGGCCACCTCCTCCTTCTGGTGCACACAAGACAAGATGGCAAGCACTTGTATCCACAGCCGTAAAGGTACCTGGCACACGCAATGTACACAAGCCTAGCGACACTCTAGCACCACAAACCTGTGTTCCTGGGTGCCTATGTCACACCCAGCTCAGTGTTCAAGAGAATACTCAGTCACACATGTCTCATGGCCATGGATGACACAAAACAAGTCATGTGCACAGAGCTCCAGCACAAGTGTGCACATATCACAGCATGACTGGTACACAATCCCCCCAGTGGGCACACATGCAAGAAAGGAGAGTAGGCCAGATGTGTGAGAATACACCACACATCTGTGACTATCGCATGCAACACATACATATGAACACAAACATATACTGTGTGTGCATGAAGAGACAAACATAGCAAAGTGTCACAGGGAGTAGAATTCTGTGTATACTTCCCAGTGTATCAGTCCCTCAGACAAAAATCATTTTTTCATCCCACACAACCTTTGGCATGCTTTAAAAAGTGAAGGAAAAAATGTGTAGGGAGAAACAACAGCCTAAGAATTGCCATGAAACGTCAGGAGAACATCCTCTTACCACTGACTGGAATAGATTAATTTTCCCCATTTCATATTCTAATTATAATTCCTTTTCCCATTGCCATCTTCAGTCCTCATTACAGCTGGAAGATTGTTCCGCAAAAGCCAGGCCTTCATCTTCTCTTCCCAAGAGTTTTGTCATGGAAATGAGTTTTGGAATCTGAAAGAACCCACATTTTCACAAATACCGAATGCATAGGGATAACCCTTTCATGACGGCCACCAAGGACACACTCACAGAGACGTCTAAAGGATCTGTCTCTCCCCACACAGTGTGGTCCCCTTGGAGGGGGCCCCTTGGCCCCTATTCCAACAGTGACCCCCTAGGCTAACCACACTATGTTCCTCCAAAGGACTTTATCATTTGAAAGGAAACTCGACAATCAAAATGTAAAGCAGAGGTCCCTGATCTTAGAGAGACAAATCCCAGCTCTCTCTTACCTCAGGCAAGTCCCAGCCTCAGTTTCATCATTGACTCATGACAGATATAAACTAAACATCTATGAGATCAAGTCATGTGATAAAGGGTGGATGAAAGGGGGAAGAGAATAAACATAGATATGGGTGGGTCCACAGGTAGGTGGCTTGACAAGTAGGTAGACGTATGAATGATGGATGGGTGGGTGGATGGGTGGATGTATGGATAGATGGATAATAGGTTGTATTAATTAGCACTGTACAACAGAAATACAAAGCAAGTCATCAGTGTAAGCCATGTG